CTAACTCTCTTCTACTTTTTTTGGTAAAGGAATCATCTTTTACTTTGGAGCAATGGACTCCATCGAGGAACAGTGATGAATGTGTGACGTTTTTTTTTCACTTATCTACTAAATTGTTATTTTAACCATTTTATTTTTTAGCACTGTTTTTAAAAAGAAACAAATTTTTTTATTTCTGTGTCTTGGAACAGTTTCTGAAAAAAAAAATGTGTTTGATAATATGTTTTATTTTTATTCTGAGAATGAGAATTGTGTTTGATAACACAACAAATAAAAGAATAAAAAATCGTTCCTATTAAGCATCAAAAAATTTCGGATCATCACTTTCATTTTCATATGATGTGGTGGTGGTGGTGGCGGCGGCAACGGTAATGGTGGTGGTGGCAGCGGTGGCAATAGTGATGGCATGGTAATGGCGGTGGTGGTGGTGACGATAGTGGCTACGATGACGGTGGTGGTGATGGTAGTGGAGGTGGTAGTGACGATGGTGATGGAGATGGTGGCGGTGGTGACAGTAACGGTTGCAGCGATGGTGGTGATAATGGTGGTGAGGGTGGTTGCATGGTGGTGACGATGGTGATGATAGTGGTGGTGACAGTAGTGATTGCAGCGATGGTGGTTATAATGGTGGCGAGGGTGGTTGCATGGTAGTGGTGACGGCAGTGGCTGGTGATGATGATGACATGGTGGTGGCGGTGGCGATAATGGTGGTGGAGGTGGCGACGATTGTAGTGGTGGTGACAGCAGTGCCTGTGACAATGGTGATGGTGATGATATGGTGGCGGCGGTGGCAGTAGTGTAGTGGTGGCAGTAATGGCGATGATGTTAGTAGTGGTTGCGTCGTGGTGGTGGTGGTGGTTGCAGTGGCTACGATGGTGGTGGTGGTTAGTAATGGTGGCAGTGATAATGGTGATGATGGTGATGGTAGTGGTGGTGGTGGTGATTGTAAGAACCTGCACCGTTAATTAAGGAAGTTAATTAATTAATTGTGCGAAATTAGAAAATAATTCCATAATTGACCCTAATAATTATGATAAGGCTTAATTAATTATGATAAGTGTTTAATAATGCTGAAAGTCGCTTTTCGGACGAAAAGTGCAGATACCGGTTCTGCTATTCGGTATAAATGCGTACTGATGAAGTATCCCAGAAAATTATAAAAGTGTGTACATGTCACTAGAATAATATATAGGACTTGTAAAACAAGTTTCAAGTTAAAATAATGAGAACTGATGCCAGAACTGATACTGGCTATGGAAAAATGCGTACCGGAAAGGTGCTGCGAAAAATAAAATAAAAATATGATAAATCTTAAAAAAATGAGTAGGTTCTGAATACTAAGTTTGGGATTAAAATGCTAAGGGTAGGAATTAGCGCTAATACAGTGCGATTAAGTTTAAACCGGCTATAAATATGACTTTTGCACAAAACCCTAGGCACTTTGCTTTTGCTACGTGACCTTGGAGGCTGATCAGCCTTTGTGCGCTATTCCATTGCCTTTCCTTCCCCATTTCTTGAGCCTTGAGACCATTTCCTTCATGAAATCTTCTCCAAAACACTTGGTGTGAGTGAGGATTACCATTGGGGGTGAGTGTTGGCCTTGTTTCTGAATCTTGGGTCTCTGTTTGGAGAGTTTAAGGTGCTGAGTTTCTGAGTCGTGAGGGTGAAGCCATTGTCATGGCATTTTGAGGTCCAAGAAGTGATCTTTGGTGAGAAAGAACCAACCTTTGGTGTGCCATTTTCGTACCTTTGAGAAGTCAGAACTTGAGAAGCTGTTTGGTGAGCTCCAAGAGCCTTTGTACCTCCGTTTTGAGCTTGGGTAAGTTCATCCACCTTTGATCTTGAGTTTTAATGGTTAAAAGTGAAGTCTTAGCATGTTTAACGAGTTGTTTAAGTAACCAACTGGTATATGAACCTAGAACAAAATAAAAATGCATGATTTAACGTTGAAATGGGTTAAAAACCCAACCTTTGGAGTGATATCTCGCGGAATGCAGAAACTGCATTCTGTCGCGAAATATCCGAATATGGATATCCGGATATGGTCTTCGAGATATCCGAATATGGATATCTGGATATAATATCCCGATATGATATCCGGATATAATATCCCGATATGATATCCGGATATTTATATCCGGATATGTCCCCGACAAATATCCGGATATTCTGAGTTTTCGAAGAACAGTAGCTGCACTGTTCATACAGAATGTTGTTATGGGTGTGTGGACCCTAGTTTGATGAAGTGAGACTTCTATAATAATTGAACTAAGTCAGAATCAAGTGATTAAGGGCTTGTGGCTTTGTGAGAAGTCTTAAGACATGAAACGTAAAGGAAAGACGTTGTACTTGTGTCTTATACTTGTTGAGTATGATTATTGATGTGATTGTTGGTCCAAAACAGATTGTGATTCTGCTGTGTTTGGGCTTTGAGATTGGTTGGACTCTTGGCTTGGATTGTTAGCTTGCAAGGTAAGCTTTCATGTCCACGGTTTAGCCATTGTGTGGTTCCACCATACCCCATGGGGGGGTGGTTTATATGCATGATGTCTTTACATGCTTTGACAATTGAAAATGTTGTTGAGCTTTATGTGCAATTGCTTATAATATGTATGTGTTGTTCCACTTAGACGGTAAGCCTGAGTATGTGGCGTCATAAAAGACGGTGACACTGTGGGTGGGTGCAAGTGGCGTCTTGCACTAATGTGGGTAATAGACGTATTCCTGCATTTCTCTTGCCAGTAACACACATGACATGATTATCTGCTGCATTGCACTATTTTGGAACTTATACTATTGAACTGTTTTTGGAACTTATATTGCATATGTAAGTGAGCTTGGGGTGGAAGATCCTTTAGGACCCCTTGTCTTACTTAGATTTCTATTTAGAGATCTCACCTCACGTTTGGGGCACATATTTCAGGTTCAGGTAACCCAGGGGTTGAGACCTCGGGCGGCAGAAGGCCGGAGCTTAGCTAATATTGTTGTTTATACGATGATATGTTTGGATGCTAAATTATAATTGTTGATGATATGCTATTAGCTTGTTATTATTATGTTGCTGTTGTTGAGACTATGTTTGGCTTTGTTGCCTTATTTGGTGAGCATGAGGATTGTCCATGCCACGTTGATTGACTATGTCTTAGTTTAGATTTGAGTTGTAATAATGTATCAGGATTATGTCCGGGCTACGTGTTGTAGTTTCGTGATTTTAGATACTTACAGTTATTTATATATTGAAGTAGTTCAGTTAGCTGTTTATTTGCAATTTACATACAGGAAATGTTTTGAAATGAATTAAGTAATTCAACTTGGCTAATGATAATGACGTCATAATCGATAAGAAAAAGATATTCCGCATTTTAATTAAACGTGGCTTAATACGATGACATGTTAACAAACTGGGTATACACAGGGTGTTACAGTGATGATAGTGATGGTGGCTGTGACGTAGAGGTGGCAGTGATGACAGCAGTGGCCGCAACGATGGTGGTGAGAATGGTGGCGATAGTGGTGGTGGCAGTAGTGGTGGTGATGACATTGCAGTGGCGGTGGCGATGGTGTAGTGGTGGTAACGATGCCATAGTGGCGGTGACGACGACAGTAGTGGTGGTGGTGGTGGTGCTGGCAGTGGCTGCGACAATGGTGATGATGACGACATGGTGGTGAAGGCGGCGGCGGTGGTAATCGAGGTGGCGGTGGTGACAGCAGTAGTTGCTGACGATGGTGATGGTGATGACATGGCGGTGGCGGCGGCGGCGGTGGTGGCGGCATGGTAGTGACGGCAGTGGCTACGATGATGGTGGTGGTGGTTGGTGATTGTGGTAGTGATAATGGTGGTGACGGTGGTAGCGGTGATGGTAATGATGGTGGTGGCGGTGGTGGTACGACGAAGGTGGTTGTGGTCGTGTCGAGATGGTGGTGGCGATGGTGATGATAGTAGTGGTGGAGAGTAATTGAGAGACATAAGTGTTTCTCTAAAAAGCAGAAATTTTTTTATTCTTTTTTCTGTTCCCCATCACAAAAATTAAATCGGTTCATCCCGAAAACAAAAAAATAAACTGATTTTACCAAACGAGTTGTCTATCCATTTCTTTTCCCGGGAGCATAAATTGAAAACAAAAAATGATTCCGAGAAGGTTGTCATGCACACCCTAAAATTTAACAGACTGCTATGTATTGAAGTTTGCTATGACTGATAGAGAACTTCATTGCCAATAATTTCTTGACATGTGGCACATTTTCACAAGAAAAGCTGACTGCCACGTGTTCAAACTTGGTAGTCAATGATTTCGTGACACGTGACACACTTTCACAGAAAATGTTGACTGGACTAAGCTCGCTACCAGGGATAGCGACTTGGTGCGCTATATGGCATAATTTTGTTGCCAGTGCCTTTTCCTATTTAATTAATGTATTTGATCACAATTAATGTATCGATCACAATTAATATATCAATCACAATTAATTTTGGTTGGTACATTAATTATGTTTGGTGATTGATACTTTAATTGTTTGTAATACCATTGTTACAAATTCGAACGATGTTTATGAGAGATAAAACATGTCAAATGCGTAGATCTCAAAAAGATATATGAAATAAAATAAAAAAACAATTAATTTGGATATCCAAATTAAAAAATATTGCCTTCCAAAGTGATTGGTAATTAATTGTGATTGACACAATCAAAAATTAATCTCATTAGTACACTAATTGTGATTTCACATTAATTAAATAGACACACCAAGTTCGCTATCCCTGGTAGCAAACTTAGTCCAATCAATTTTTTCTACGAAAATATGCCACGTGTCATGAAATTATTGGTTACTAAATTCGCTATCAATTGTAGCAAACTTGGACACGTGATAATCAGCTCTTTCTGAGCATGTCACGAAATCATTAGCTACCAAGTTCATTATCAGTCGTAGCAAACTTCAACGCATGATTCTTGTAAAATATATTGTTCACATGACATATTGATAAAAAATTACCAAAAACATGACAATCTGATCAATGTTCCCTCAATTCAACCTTTTTTTTTTCCTTCAATTTTTTCTTTTATCAATGCTATATTTTCTTAAGATGTCAATTTTTCTCTCTCCTGGATCTTATTTTAGTCGTCGATTAAGAGGTAAATCCAACAACAATGGCTTGAAGCCCATCATTCAGCTGAAAATGGGCCCCTTATCTTTCATAATTGTGGATTGACATTTTCCAGCACAAAAATGAACATTAAGGTGAGAAAAACACGGTCAAAGCAAAAGTAATTTATATTTGATTTCGATTTCTTGGAACGTTGGGATGCGATGCAATGCCATGTTTTATACTATCCCAACATTTCTTACATCCTTAGCCAACATAAAGCAACTTTCCTCCTTGCCTTGCTTCTAATCAGAGTCAGAGTCCATGTTGCCCATTGCTTTTAACCCTCTTGGTCTCTGCGAAAAAAAAAATTAAATTACTTTCTTTTCTTTTTTTGGTAGAAAAATTACTTTTCTTTTTTTACGTGCAAAAGAACAAAAACACTAGCTAGCCGTTACTCTATCAAGATATGCTATGATAAACGGCAACTTGCAGAAGCTTTCTCTCTTTAAATTTACCTTTTTGGATATCTTCTTCTCCCTAACTTCATATCGCTCCAGGGTAAGATCGCATAGCCATGTACCTGGACTTACAAGCTGCAATACGGTCCAAAATGAATTAAAAGTTATATTTAGACCATCAATCAATAAATGAAAAAGACACATAAATAAATAGATAAAAAGATGGGTGGAGGTGAAACTAAGAAATAAAGAAATACAGTAACATTACTTAGCTATCAACATGCCCAAAACAGCAACAAAAGAAGAGAAGACTACAGACAACTCATGCCATTTCAATTTTGTCGGTTAGTGTATGGCTTTTTGTTAATTAGCATGTATACAACTGCCAGCGCTCATTCTTGTCACAGCTCACAGGACATAATCCAGTATACCCAATCTTACTTTCCAACCAAACCCCAAGGTCAAGATCACAACATAAACCTCGACACGTGCCCAGGATCACGTCCATCACTTTATTACGAAACTCTTAAAAGTCAATTAAACATTCAAAACTACAGATCAAACCCATGAGAAACCCAATTCAAAAGTGTGTTAAATAGACCAAGTGCCAAAGTATGTCAATATTCTTCATCTGTCATTGTCCTACTAATAATAATAGCGTAAGGCTTTATTTATTTAGGAATTCAATACGAATGACTTTTCGATAAAAATGTTATACGTCATTTTTTATTAATCAGAAAGAAAAGATGAGAAAATTATTTTAGAGATTTTTAAACATTTGGATTTCATTAAAATCAATCTGTATTTTCTTTTATTTATATTAGAATATTAAAATATCATAGGAGTATAGATTTGTTTTGTTTATTGTAACACTAATTGGTTGTTAGATCAAAAGAGAGATGATATTATAACAACCAATTAGTATTACTACCAATCAATCTCACCGTTAGATCAATTATGTTGATCCAACAGTTATATTTTTTTTATTTTTTTTATTTCCATCTCTGTATGCTTATGATTCCTCATATTTTATTTATTTCCATCTTTGTATAGTTATGATTCCCCATATTTTATATGAAATCATATTTAATGCTTTCACATTAAATATGGAGAATCATAACCATACAAAGATGAAAATAAATATAATCATTAGATTAACATAATCAATAACGGTGAAATTGATAAATTGATTGGGAGTAATATTAGTAGTAACACTAATTGATTATTACGACATCATTCCCCTATATATATATATATATATGTTTGTTTTCTTTATGTTACACGAAAATAGTACCCCTTTTATACACACAAACATAGAGAGAAGAGAGAAGAGAGTGGTGAGAGAAAATAAAAAAGAAGGATCCATGTGCTTTTTACGTGTCTGTAGAAAAGTGATCTATATATATATATATATATATATATATATATATATATATATATAACAATTAACTACATATGTAAAGTCTAGATCAAAGATTGAATAAGCTAACTCGAGGTGGAACTGTTTCATCTTCCCTACCCGAAATATAAATTATTTTGTCAGACATAAAACTCAGAAGATATTACATTTTTATAATTCTTTATCCACGTGCACCTTGCAGTTGGACAAAAGGAATTTTTTAAAATATATTTTCAGTGTATATATATAATTTTAAATTTAGTCTTTAAAAAATAAAATTTAGTCCTTGTATTTATAATTATTTTCAACTAATCCTTGTCGTCTATTATTTTAAAAAATCATTTATTAGAATTAGAATAAGGGGCAAGATATTTTACAACTAAAAAAATTTACCACCTTTACAACCAACCTATTCACCGTTGATTTCTGTCAATCTAACGGTTATAATTTATTGAGAATTAATAATTAATTAATAAATACGACTCAATAATTTCAATAAATAATAACCGTTAGATTGATGAAAATTAACGGTGATTAGTTTGATTGTAGATGTTGTAAATTTTTTTGGTGGTAAGTATATCATTTCCCTTAGGATAATAATATGTAAGGATTATATTATTATTTTTTCCCTATACATAATCATTTTTAATTTTGTTCTCATATTTTTTATAATAACTCCATACTACATAGTATAAATTATATATAGTTTATCAAAAAAGAAGAAGCAATTATATATAGTTTATCAAAAAAGAAGAAGCAATTATATATATAAATTAAATTAAAATTTCTATATGTAGTGCTATATATATAGCATACAAGACAAATTAAAAATTATATGCAATGTTTATATATATAGGCTCATCGTTTCTCAAGCTATTTGAGATAATTTTATCTCTGGCTACTAAATAATAACCGTACAAAGATGGATCAATGATGGTAAAGGAAGAGAGAAAAAAAATGAATTATAACCATTCAAAGGTGAATCAATTAATATAAGAAAATAAATAAATAAAACGACATAATTTTAGGGTAGCTAGAGATAAACTTATCTCAAGTAGCCAGAAAAATATCTTTTCATATATATATATTTATATATAAAGATAGGATCCTTTGACACCGGTGTCAAATTTTGAAATTTGACACAAAATCATCTCCGTTGATTTCCATCAATCATTAGGAATCAAACTTATTAATTACTATTAATTCTCAATAAATAATAACCGTTGATTAACGAAAATCAACGGTTAGAATTTGATGTCAAATTTCAAATTTGACACTGGTGTCAAATGATCCTACCTCATATATATATGGGAAAAACTACTCTTATGCAACATAAGAGTAGTTTTATCTCCTACCCACCTATTAAAATTTGTGACACTTTTTTTGTTTTCTTTTTTCTTTAAATGACGAGTCCCATCACATTATGTCTACAACATAAGAGAAGATCTCTTATGCAACATAAAATTAAATGAACCCTATATATATATATATATATATGGGAATATTAATCTTATGTTACATGAGAGTATTATCTCATGCTATAGAGAGAGTTTAAGTGGGGTCCACTATTAAAAAGTAAAAAAGAAAAAAAGAAAAAGAAGGGGTGTGATTTTCGATGTGAGAGAAAATGAGATAACTACCTCATGTAAAATGAGAGTAGTATTTCCCATATATATATATAAATATATATATATATATATATATATATATATATATATATTTATATATAAGGTTGGACTTAAGAGGTCCTTAATAAAACTTTTGGGACACTGCAGTATTCGCCGTGAACCAAGCTCCCACTGACGCGTGTAAACCCATCCACGGCTGCCAACCCTCTATCTATGCCTTTTCAACGCAAAGGATCCAAAAGGAAAAGGAAAAGAAAAGAGAATACGCGCACTACCGTACTGGAGCAACAGGATAAAAAAAAAAAAAGCAAAATAAATGGCATACTAAAAATAATACTTCAGAAGTTTCAAAACCACACACTATCATTATGTTCTCGGTCACACAACAATTTTTGCAGAAAATTATACCATTCTTATGGGGAGTACATTAGTGTTTCTGATATAGAAATATCTCTTAAACACGTAAAAATATGTGAAACTTATTTTTTTATTTTATTTTTTCACTTGATTTTGTATGGGTAGCGTACATTTTTATATATGTATAGAAGATAAAATTATTTCCTATATAAATAATCTTTTGATTAGTAACAAAACATTTCATTCAAATTTTTAATTGAGAATCCGTGATGAAAACCATTTAGTTTTTTTTTTTTTTTATCAGTTACGTTTAGACCTTTCTAATGCATCAATTTCTCCAGTCTAATTAAGAAATAGTGCATAAATAAAAAGCTTCATCAAGAAGATGTAAAAACGAAATAGAACAAATTAAAGCGGAAAGAACGTAAAGCAAATAAATAAATAAATAAATAAAGAAAGAAACAAGGAAAGTGGAGCTTACATTGAGGGTGCGCTGTATGAGTTTTGCTCTCTTCTTGGGTCTCTGAGGCAGCTTTGACCCCTTTATGGCCAGAAAATCTTCTTCCTTCTCCTTGTTGGTCAAGGCAATCACGAACTTGGGTGGCCACACAGGCGGAGCCGCATCCCCACTGCCTGACGGCGACCCACTCTTCTTGCTATCGTGCGCGGTATCTGATGAGGCCGCAGACTTATTATTATTTTCATTAAGGTGGTTGTTATGGGCCCCCCTCTTATCATGCGCACCCCTGTCAGGTGAGGCAATTCCCCTAACACTCCCGTTGCTTTGGCCTCCTCTCATAGCACTTGAAGTCTCCAAATTCCTAAATAATAAGACAAAAAAAACAAGAAAGAGGCACAACCCACATATGATTATCCCATATATTTCTTAACCGTAAGAAACACGAAACACGACATGATAAATAGGGAAAACAAATAAGCATTCATAATTTTTTTTGTTTAAAAAAAAGTAAATAAAAATTAACTTTGTGGAAGTATTACAAAATTGACCTTGTGGGTCGATCTAGATCGCAGGGTTAGAGAACCTTGAATATCAACGGGTTTTGCGTTGAATATGGGGTGGTTTTTCGCTTCTTCGGGGTATTTGTATTGTGCTTTCGAGAAAACGGGGGCTGGTATATCTTTAATTTATTTAACTTTAGTTAATATGAAAAGATTTAGATCGATAGTTGAGAGAGAGAAGCAGAGGTACGTGAATGTGATTCCTTATAACGGGCACAGCTGTTTCCTCGGCGGATTTGGAGCCGTTGGATCTAGAGTGCTTATTGGCTAGTGAAGCAAAGATGGAGTTTACTTTTCTACGTGTTGAAATGCAGAATGGGACGGACCAGATCATACTACCTGGACCCTCATCCGACGGCCATAAAAGGCTTTCTTATAGAAAATGACTTTTGATGAACACGTGGAAGGAGACCGTCCATTCCATGTTCCCGACAAAGTCTAGTAGTAACCCTCACTATCATGGGGAGGTTCTGGTGCGACATTTTAGATCTAGATCCACAAGGGGGAGAGCTGTTAGGATATGATCCAATACGAAGGAGGTGGATCAAGTTAGTGGTTACTTTTCTAAGGTCATGAAAATAATCTGAAAAAAAAAAAAAAAACCCCAAAAAATTCTAGTAGACCTTCAGGATAAATTAGACATCATATATCATATTAATTGTTTTTATGCTTGCAACTGTATCACCTGAATATCAATCATAGATTCATAGTCAGTGACAAAAGCATTATGATAACACAAATCTACATCCGGATGTTTAATCTGCGGGGTTAGTTGCTATTATCTCACTATACTTCATAATTATCTTATTATTATTAAGTTATTTTATCTATCATTCTCAATACTATTAAATCAAAATCTTAATAGAAGAGAAAAATAATAAAAGTAATTAAGATTCTGATTTAATGATGTCAGAAAATAATAAACAAAAAAAGAAATAAATAAAATAACTTATCCCTATCATGAATAGGAACTTATTTGAAATACCAAATTTCCTTTTGGATTCAGATCTTCAACTAATTTAGATCATCAGATTTGTTACCAGAAGTCTGCACAAACAAAATGCAAAAGTAGCACAGCCATTTGCCCGTTTTTATTTGCTCCTACATGTTATAGCCTAAATGATGACTCGTAGACTCGTAGTCAATATAAAGGCATTTTGTGAGGCAACCATTGTACTAACTATCACACACTAATATGAACTTCTTAGCTTAGTTTCGGTGGCCTTACCAGCTGGCGATTAAATCGGTAATGCACTTAAACCGATATCAACTCGGTGAACCAATCATACTTCGCAATTCAATTGGTATTAACCGATACCACTTACCACTGCAGTAGAGGTACTTACTTGTCATATATATTTTATTATATTTATTATATAATTTAATTAAATTCAATTTCACCGACTGAATCAATAACCTACAGTTTGAACTACTAATCTATTATTCCAATACCTCAATCGAGTCCTCTTTAAGTTGGATGAGACCTCCGCGAGGACCTGACTAATTGGAGAGCGGACAAAACATAAGCCTTATGGTCGTGATAAAATATTATGCCCAAATGCAGCAAATATCTTCAGTGCTACTAAAAAAGACAGGACCAACTGTGGTACACCAGCAAGCACTCTTCTTGTTATATCCACGGTAACATTTGAAGCTGAAGATTGTTTGACTGACTTACGAGACTTACAAGTTGCCTTCATCGCTTATAGTCGCCCCCCTCACGAAATTTCGTGGCAGACATTAATCCACCACTTCCACATAAAATTCAAAATTCTATCAAATTTTTTATTCCCTACAACTACAAGCCTATCGGATTATTATTATTATTTTGACTAAATCTGAAGCCATCCATGCCTTGGAAGGAAATAAAACCAAAATTAATTTTTGTTTTGTTTTTATAATTGGAAATATCGATAAGAACAGCAAAAACACCTCTTTCTCTGAAAAATATCAAAGAAAAGAAAAGCATCCCAACTCAACAACTCAGTCTTGTTTAATCATAATCAATTATTTTAAGGAGCTAAACATAAATAAATATATAGAATAAAACAAGACAAGAGAGAAAAAATGAAACAAATACCTGAGAATCCGTTGAGGAGGTTGGTGCGGCGAAGTGGGGCGTTGGCGGAGATTCGGATACCCGTTACTCTGATTATGATTATTATAATTGTTATTGTTATTGTTGTTAGTAATAGAAGTGGGCCGATTTGAAGAATCCTTATCGGTTCTAACTACCCGTCGATCCACCCGAACCGTTGTCCTCTGAACCGGGTTGGAAGAGTCGTCTTTGTCCTTATCGGTTCTAACCACCTTCATGCACCTTAGTCGCTTCCGGTTCCCCCACTGCAGAACCAAATCTGACGTTGCTGATTGTCTGATGGTATCGGAACTAGCCCTCAATAATAAGGACCCATCCCCTCCTCCTCCTCCTCCTCCTCCGGTTTTGTCTCTATCTCTAACGCTAGGAATTTTGTTGCTATTGCCATGGTTGTTATGTGACTCTTTATCCATCTCTCCCTGTTGCCTGTCATCATCATCATTAATAAGGTGAAGTTTATTAGTGGAATAACCAAAAAAATGTTTTAATACAATAAATTTGGAATTGGTGTTGGCTTTGTATTATCTGCAATTGCCTTAACATGCCTTAAAAAAGAAAAGGTATCTTTATCTTCCCCCTGACTCTACGAATTTCAAGGATTGAGTAAGATTTGCTGTAATGATTTTGCTCTTAAACAAATTCCAGAGCCAATTGATGAGTAAGATTTCGATTCACAACCCGTGAAAGGAAGACGGGGGAAATGAATAAGAAAAAAAAATTGCAATTGCAATTGCAAATACAGATAGAATCGTAACAAAAAACTTATCCTCTGCGAGAAAGGAAGTAACAGAGGACTTAAATCAACGATATTTGGAAGCAATTAAAAAAAAAAAAAAAAAAAAAAAAGCAAGAACATCCAAATTATCAACAAGGGGAAAAAGATCCTAAAGGCGAGCATAAAATTAAAACCGTAAGGAGCCATGGAAATCAATGCATTACCGAAAACATGCACGTTGTTAGCGATCAATTCCTTCTGCCACAACAGCAACCAAAAGAAAAGGAGACAGTTTTTTTTATTTCCGGCAAGAAATGAAGAGGTAGAGAGAAATCAGATGCAGCGTCACAACTATGAACCACAGCCACCAGGAATGAACATCAAAATCGGATTAACAGCTACAGCTTGATTGCGATGAGAATCAACTCGCTGATTTCACTAAATAGTTTCTAACCTAAACTAATCCGATTCCGCAAAAACCGGCGCTCCGAGATACACACACAAAAAAAAAAGCTCGCTGATTCCACTTCTGAACCTTTGCAAAAATGCAAATCAAATCTTAAAATCATACTAATAATGACATTTCAGAGCTTCGATCTGCGACCACGGCCACAAGTACAAACTCAGACAAGGCACCATCGTCTCTGTAATCTGGCAAAAGAGTTCAGAGTTTCATAATTAGCCAATTTTTCCAGAAAAATGTATCTGCAGATGCCAAAAAAAAACATAAATAGCTTAACACAGAGGTCAAACAGGAAATAGAGGAAGAGAACAAAACCTCAAAAACTAGAAATTATTGAGCACCTTTAAATATCAGAATGAAGTTTTCAGAGCAGAATTCACTTGAGAATTAACAATGAGATTCTGACAAGTTCCGTCAAAATCCTCTTCTAAAATACACCTGAAAACAAAACAAAAAAAATGAGCCAAAAACAAGTCGAGATTAGAGATTAGATTCTACTCCACGTTCAGGAAAAAATAAATTAGAAACCGAAGCTTTGTATCAAGACGAAACCTCATTCTACGTACCAAAGTAGCAGATCCTCAAAACTCACCGTTCACTGATCAGAATTTGGCTCCTAAATTACGCAGTTTTGCTTAACAGAAAATGGTGAAAAGCAATAGAAAATCCTCGGAAGATAATAGAAAGAGCGAAGAAGGTTACAGGGTTCTTCTTCTTCTTCTACCTTGTTCTTGTGATAGAATGAAATGCTCTGTTTTCTTTGAAGACCCCTGTTTATATGCATCTTCTGCCACACTCCGATAATTTCTGACCGTAGATTACATATCTGACGGCTCTCGTCTATCCTCGCTTGAAACCATACATGGAAACCCGTTACGTCGCTTATTAGCGCCCTTCTACCGTTATATTTATCTAACGACGTTACCCGGAAAACGGAATCTGCAGAGCCGTCAGATCCCGATTACGATTTATTTTTTTAATTTTACTTTCAGATTGGTTCGCTCTCGCGCCCAGAAATGATGGGTACAGCAAGAGTTAACTAGGGTTAGTTAACCTGATGTTGGTTAGTTTTATTACATTCATTAAACCAGAACATTAGTTCTCTTTCTTTCTATTGTGTGATCAATGCTCAGATGTAACGGTGTGTCGTTTATCGTATTTCACGTATAGATGTTAATCTTGAATCCAGTAAGCATTAACCATGGATTGACAAAATCGTGGTCGTCGATGCTTTAATTGCACCTTCAATTTGGAGTTTCAAAGAATTTCATAAATCATTCTGTTTTCTTTTTTATCATATTATATCCTTTTTTAAAATTTTAGATTTTGAAAATTGAAATATTAAATATGGCAATTATACTTTTCATGTTACTGAAAAAAATGTTCTTCGACATATATTTATCAGAATTAGACATTGGATCCTGGCAATTTTTTTTAAACCAATAAATCAGTTTTTCTGTATTTACTGCAAAATTTTACTTTTTCCAGCAACTACAAAGAAAGCAAACCCATTAAATATTAGGGATAGATTATTTTATCTATTATTTTTCTATTTATCTTTGCCTACCACCACTGGCAGACCTAGGTGGGAACTTATGTCCGCGTTTGCGGACATAAGATTTTGGATTTTAGTTTTTTGTTGTTGTTGTAGCTATATAGATCTTTATTTGTCTATTGGTTCAATATTTATATTAGGAGTTATTCGATCCTGGATAGACCCTATTGCTATACCGAAGGGTATGCGCTCAGAGATACTGTATATTCAGATATATACTAGGCTTATAGTCGGTGTCTCAATCACTGCGCACAAGCAATAGGCTTAGAGCCAAGGGGTGGGTGTGTGCACAGTATTCGTAAAAAGGACAGTATTCGTAAAAAGTTTAAAGTGTGTACATGGGGTCCTTAGGCTCTTATTTATAAGGATTACCTTCCTAGGCTTGAGCCTTTTGAGCTCCCCAGATTGCATTAGGGTTCAGCTCCCTTTCTGTTGGGATGTGACCCTTATCTTGTGTACTTTGACTATTTAATGTTGTTGAGATACTCATGAAACCTATCTCTTAATAGATTCTTATGTGAGTAGTTGAGATATGATATTCATATCCATAACAGGAGTAAATATCATTTTAAGTTCCTAACAAAAAATATGATTCCTACTTTAGTCCCTTATCAAAAATTAGTCTCGAGGAGGTCCCTAAGGAATTCAAAATAGATCAATTTAGTTAAAATCGTGGTCCTTCACAAATTCAAAAAAGACCTACATTAGACTCTCAAAAAGACTAAAATGAGTCCACTTTAAATTTCATAGGGACCGAGTGACTATTTTTTTATAATGGACTAAAGTGGGGATCGGATTTTTTGTTAGGGACCAAAAAAGATATTTATTCTTATATTAGTTAGCAACGTAGAAACGTACAAAGATGATTAAAACAATGTAGCAAGGCAAATTGAGTAGAGAGAAAACTTATTCTTCCAACACTGTCACGTACCCATTCCCATGATTTGTTCATCCTTTGTTATGGAAGTAACTAGATTATGAGCGGGTTCAAGCATTAATGTAAACTTTTTTTACAAAAAAAAAAAAAAACTAGGGCGCCCCCCCCCCCCCCGAAACTCCGCCACTAAATGTACAGACATAAAAAAATTTTCCTGGGTCCGTCACTGCCTACCACCCTCTAACACCGATAGATCAGAATCTTAACTAATATTTATCTTTCTCTTTTCTTGGTATTCTGATCTATCAGTGTTGAAAGGTGGTAGACAAAGTATGATAGGTAGAATAACTTATCCTAAATATTAATAAGAAGGATGCTATTTAAAATGAAAAACGATCGACGAGCAGTGGCAGCACAAAATTGAGAAGAACAATACCAAAAGAAAAAGGTAGTTTTTAATGTAATTAATAAATGGGCAAGCAATTAGCTGCTATTTATCATTCGTCCAATACATAATTATTTTATGACGGATACTTCATACTTATGAAGGAAAAATATAAAATTATAATTTGGGGAAAGATATTGTAATTTATGATGCACTGACACGAGACATAGATATGATATGATATGACACGTCGACACGTTAATTTTAAAATATGACATATTTCGACACGTTAAGACACGTTTTGATATTAAATAATATCTGTAAAATATATAATATAATTTATATTTAATACATAAAACAGGGGAAAAGTACCATTTTGAAGTTTTTGGACAAAAGAATTGTCCGGTTAAAGCTGATTGGATAAGTTTTTCCAAAGTAATGCAGTCAAACATGTCGCCTATGCTGACGGGACTAGTCCCGTCACTGATACTGACGGGACTCGTGCCACGTAGGCAATCCAATTACCGTAAATCTTCGGAAGACCATAACTTGTGACTCGGGTATCCAAATCAGATGATCTTTTTTTTTGATTTCACATAACTTTTCGAGATCTACGCAATGATACCTCGTTTGACATATTTTATCTCCCACAAACATAGTTTGAATTTGTAACAATTGTATCACAATCACAAGAGTGTTTATCCATAAGACTATGTTTGTTGGAGATAAAATATATCAAATGAGGTGTCATTGCGTAGATCTTGAAAAGTTATGTGAAATCAAAAAAAAAATCATCTGATTTAGATACCCGAGTCACAAGTTATGGTCTTCCGAAAATTTACGGTAATTGGACTGCTTACGTGGCGCTGACGTGGCACGAGTCCCGTCAGTATCAGTGACGGGACTAGTCCCGTCAGCATAGGTGACATGTTTGACTGCATTACTTTGGAAAAACTTATGCAATCAGCTTTAACCGGACAATTCTTTTGTCCAAAAACTTTAAAATGGTGCTTTAACCCATAAAACAGTCCACAATAAGTCATATAAACAATTAAATATTCAAATTTCATAACATAAATATAAAACAAAAGTAATTTTTCATACCTTGTTAATTTTTTATGTCAAATTCCGTAATAGTAAAAAGTTGACTTATAAATTAATTTTATTTTTAATTAATAAAAAAAATTAGACCTTAAAAAAAACGTGTCGTGTTGGAGCGTTGACCACGTGTCGAAAAAAAGTTAACCGCGTGTCGAAAAAACGTGTCGAAGCGTTGAATGTGTGTCTCAAAATGTTGACCGCGTGTCGGAACGTGTCGGTGTTCAACACGCAAATTTTTTTTGAAATCGAGTGTCCGTGCATTCTAGATTATAACAACTAATTAGTGTTACTACCAATGTTCCTCAATCAATTTCACCGTTTGATCGATTATGTTGATCCAACGGTTATATTTATTTCCATCTTTGTATGGTTATGATTCCCCATATTTAATACTTTATATTTATTTTCACCTTTATATGGTTATGATTTCTCATATTTAATGCTTTCACATTAAATATAGGGAATAATGACCATACAAAGATGAAAATAAATACAATCGTTGGATCAACATAATCAATCTAACAGTGAAATTGGTAGTAACACTAATTGATTGTTACAATATCTTACCGCTTATAATTTTTGGTTAAAAAAATAAAATTTTAATAACTTCATTATTTCTTACGTATACATGTGTATTATATTATAACTTCAAATGAACGGTAATATTTTTGCATATTTTTTCAAAATATACTTAAGATTATTAAGATCGAGATCTTATCTAAAATTAAAAGAGGATGATAAAATTGTAAATCGTGAGATAAAAATGGATTGTAAGATTTTACCCTCTTAATTTTAATGAAAAAAATAATATTTATATATATATATATAATAATATTTAAATTACAATTGTAATTAGAAAAGACACCACCTATTAAAGATAATAAAATAATTTAAATATAAAAGACAAATATAAATTATCATTAAATTCAAATAATTTAAGATTTTAATAATAATTTATTTATTTAATAAATAGACTTACTTAAAATATAAATATATATTTAAAATATATTTGTAATAACAAAGAAAAATTATTATTTGAATGATACTTAAATTTGATTAAATTTTCAAATTATAAAAGATAATTTAACAATCAATATTTGATAATGGTAAAAAAGTTTATTCTGCTAATTTGAACAACAGAAAAATAATTAAAAAACTGAAAATTAAAAATGTAAATTTGAATAAGTATAAAAAAAATGTTAAGGATAAAATTCAAAACGTAGAAAAAGGAATATTTTTCAAAGGACTTTCTCTCTCTTTATTCTGCAATCTACACAACTCTTTCATCAAGTTATTCTCATTTTGTGTGTCTCTCTTCAATCGATTCTTCTTGGCTCTCTCTTCAATCAATTCTCCTTGCCTGTGTCTCTCTTCCAATGGCTTAGGTTGCTAACTAGTGGTTGCAATCTTAAAGATTGTCGCTGCCGCTAATGGCTGTCTATTCCCTATTCTTTCTCACTACTTGTTAATTTCGATTTTTTTACCCAAATCGTTGGGACGATCCCACCGATTTCATGCCTTTCTCAGTCAATCCCAGTCGATCCAAGAACAAAACGATCTCATATGCGATTTAGATAGTGGAAGGGGAAAAATCATAATATCGGACGATCCTACAATTTTTCTAGCAATTTTAACATAACACCCATCATTTTTTATAAGGAGAGGTTATATTTATAACTTATTTTTCCTTACAACCTCTTCCAACCACTTTTATGGTTGTTGGATCAAAATCAAATCAATTGTTACAAAATGATATTAAGAGAGAACCGGCTCTAACCTGCCGAGTTGACTCGGTGAGCCGATGATCTAATCAGTTTAAGCCGAGCAATAGACCGG